CATGTATAATCCTTAAGAACACATTCAACGAGATGGATGATAGTACAAGATATAGGGCATTTGCCTTACATGTGGCTGGCCCAGGTTCAATTCCCAGAACCCTATATGGTCTCCTAAGTCTGTCAGGAGTAAGTCCTGAACACCCCTGGGTGTGACCCAAAAACCAAATAAAAAAGAACACAGTCAAATATTTTAAATCAGGAATCAATGATCAATAAACACCAGTCCAAATATAGTCTGCTGCCTCTTTTTGTAAATAAAGCTTTATTAAGGGCTGGGGTTAAGGTACTTGTTTGCCTTTCGCAGAGCTGACCCCAGTTTGAGTCCGTGGAACCACATGTGGTCCCTTGATAACCAACAAAGATCACTCCTGAACACACAGCCAGGAGAGTCCCTGAGCATCATTTTGTGTTTCTCAAAAACCAAAAAATTAAAAAATTCCTTAGCTGCTGCCATGTAAACAGCCCAGCTTCACAACATCATGACTAATATCGGAAGAGAAGCCAAGTCAGTGAAATTCATGGTAGCCAGGTCTTTGGGCTGCAAACTCTGGGGCTCCCTCAGGAGGGGCATGGCTGAGGACAGTTCCAGTTCTACAGAGCCTGGAGCTCCTGAACACCTCCAGCTCCACCATACTGGCAGCCCAGTAGGAGCACAGCAAAATAGATGGAAAAGCAGCACGGAAGCCAACTAAGCTCCATAACCAAAAATAAGAACAAAGAAAGCTCAGCTAGCAGCCAACAGCTCAGTAAACCCTCGGACAATGACTTTAATAACCGCACGTGAGCTAAAACAATTTTCAGAAACTTTGTTTTACTGAACTATTTTTAAATAATTCCATTTACCATTTCATTGTAACAAGCAATATAAAAATAATTTTGTGCCTGCCAAGAAGGGGGCAGTCTTAGGGGTGGGGTAGGGGTTGGGGAAACTGGGGACAATGGTGGAGGGAAGGTCATACTGATGGTGGGATGGTGCTAAAGCACTGAATGCTGAAACAACTGTATCATGAACAACTTTTAAAAATCACGGTGTTTAAAAAAAGCTTTAAGAATGGGGAAAAGTTTAATTTCTTAAATTAGATTTTATTAAAATATATCCACTCTTTTAGAAAAAACACATGATCTATGACTGCTTTATTATTAGCACCACAGACATGAATTCCTGTGACAGACTATATGCTTTGCAAACCACCCATAAAGAGTTATTATCGTGCCCCTTGCAGAAAACATTCGCTTTCCCTGCTCTAGTCTCAAACTTGAATGTACGTAAGAAACACCCTGACAGCTTGTTGGAAAGTTTCTTGGTTCTCTCCTCACAGATTCGATAGGTCAGCACCGGGCCCATCACTTGCCTTTCTACCAAGTTCACAAATTACTCACCGCAAGACCACAATCATGGGGGAAAGTATATAAAGACAACAAAGCACAGGAAGTAGTTTTGGGGGGGAAGGAAGAGCCACACTCAGAAATGCAAAGGGTTAGTCCTGGCTCTGTGCTCAGGAATCACCCCTGGCGGTGCTCCAGGTGCCCATGATGGAACCTGGGTCGGCAGTATGCAAGTCAAGTGCCCTACCCACTGTACTATATCTCTGGCCCCTGTATGTCCTAAGCACTATCACAATGGAGAGAGAGAGCGCTGATTACACACAGCATGAGAAAGCCTGAAGACATAGAACAGGGAAGGCAGGGAGACTGTCTGCAGAGGCAGAGCAGAAGAAGAAAGTGATGGGGACTCAGGTGCTACCAATAGGCGGCTTTGATGGTAGCAGAGTATATAACTGGGGAAGGGATAAGAAGTGGCTGAACAGGAAAGCAGGTTACCTGTGAAGCAACTGAGGGGCCACACAAAGCATTAGATCTTTCCTTTTCCAGCTTTAGGCTGGATAGAGAGAAACAAAAATATGAAAATGGCCCACTAGGAAGGGTGGGAACCTCGGGGGGGACCCCTTGGGTGCAGCAAGGGTCTTAAGGGGTCTGTGCTTGAAGTCATTCAGTTCCCACCCAGCAGTGCCAGGTTTCACTTGATCCAAAATCCAGAGGCTAACTTAGTCCATCCCTAAGTTCTTGTGAAACATCTTTGAAGTGGGAGCCTGGTTGGCCACCTGTAAGGAGATCTCAGTGGCTTAACCCACCTAGCTTCTTTTTTTCTCACCTATCACTACATGTGCAAGAAACTGGGTCTAGAGAGGTGCTTAGTCTCTGCATCTTCCGAGCTGCTGCTTCTGTTTCTGTGTTTACAAGTAAGGACTCTTGCTCTGGTGCTAAATTCCTGCATCAACCCAGGGCTCTTAATCTGAGCTATGACTAGTGTATCAATATAATTGGATTCATTTCCTCTGGAACTCTACTCATTTTTTCTTTTATGTTTAAAAACATTCTCTTATTCTGAGAAGTAGTACAAAAAGACTTCTTAAATATTTTCTGTTTGTGTTTTGGGCCATATCAGCTGTGCTCAGGGCTACTCCTGGTGGGGTTTGGGGCGCCACATGGGGTGCTGAGGATTAAACAGCTTCTAGACCCACTGTACTATTGTTCCAGCCCCTTTTGTCAGATATTTAAAGTCACTTAAAACTCTTGTATGAAGCATACTGGACATTCAACACAGGAATGAGAAGAGGACACTGCTGGTCATATATAAGGAGGGGACAATAATGTAATACCACGGGCCCCAAACAAAAACAAGCAACCCCAAACACAAAAGAACTCAGAAGTCTGACTTAATATTGCTTTCTCTTTCTACTTCCCTTATAATATTTTTCTTTTGTGGACTTCATTTAATGCCAGCATCAGAAATTACTTGATGGTTTAGATGGCTTATATTTTTTATAGTCTTAAACTAAAGTATCATTTATAAACTAAAAATTCAATAAAAGCTATAAAAAAAGTTAAAGAAAAATTACATCATCAATGAAGAGACTAGAAATGTTAGCAACCAAAGAAAGAACAAATAGAGCTTCCTGATAATATCTAGACACACAATAACCTGAGAAAGAAGGTAGATAAGGACCCCCCAAAAAAAACTTCTTAGTTTTCAGTCAGAACCAATTGCTTTTAAAAAGATGTGTGAAGAACAAAAAATGAATTCTTATCTTAAAACGACAGGAATTTGCAGGCTCTATGCTCCAGAGGGACCCAGGAGGCCCACAAGCAAGGGGACACCAAAACAATGTCAGGTGTGACCCCTTCACCAACCTAAGAGAAGCTGAGGGAAAAACACCCCAAATCAAACAAGCTATAGACGGGAAATATCTCTGAAAAGAAACTCCTGACTCTGAGCTAAATTTGAAATGCCAGTGTTAGTACTCAAACTTAAAATGCAGACAGCTACTACACAGGAAGGAAAGCAGTCAAAGAATGAGTTAGAAGTCAGGAGTTATAGAAAAGGTAAAACTGAATAAATAAAACGATCCCCCTTGCTACTTTGCTGACTCAGCCATCACAATGGTTCTGATAAATCAGTGAAAATTCCCAGAGCGTTATTGCCCAGTCTTCACAAAATGACATCTTGGTCTGGGTAGGAAAACCCACGGAAGGTGGTGGTGGTATGTCATTTGTAGTATTCTTTGAAAGTACCTCTCCTTAGTATTTAAAAGTCCTCCCAACTTAGACAGGCAGCTCCAATGAGGCGGCCAGACAACTATTCAAGGAAACAATGAAAGGTTTTCAAAGTTGCCAGATCAAGTTAGGTCAGTTTTTAATGCCTGGAGTACAGCTGTGGAGGTTTCCTCTCAGCAATACTTTGGGGGGGGGGGGGGGGGGCGGAGGGGAGAAAACCAAAATGTTGAACCACCTTTGAGTGATTTTTCTGGAGAAGAGCTGCAAAGGCGTTGTGTCTTTTCTTCCTGAGAGTCACCTATCAGATCTGGGAGGGCGGGCAGGCTCCAGTCTCCACAGGCAGCTCCTTCTTCCCACAGTCCCGGCCAACCTGCCTTTCTCTCAGCCCTGGCAAGTAACTGAGACTCCTTGCTCCCTTGGCTAATCTTTCCTGTCACTCCAACCCTCCCCGGCTTAACTTGTAGTTCAAGCATCTGACAAGGAGAACTCAAGTGTTACTTTATTATTTTGTAAAAGTCACTTGTTAACATGTTATTAACAGTCTCCCAAATCTTCTAAGATGGATTTGTTCAGAAAATAGTGTCAAGTAAACTATTAGGATCCTGTCAGAAAATATACAGAGGCCAAGCCATGTAGGATACACGTTCAATAAATGAAGTAGGAAATATCCAGAATTTGCATTTCAAGAGGAGAAATTAACTCTATCTAAAATTTCCATGTACTTTTTTTTAAAAAAAAGGAGAAATTAAGAAAAAAGCAGAATATTAGTCAGGAAAAGACATATCAAAATCATTTATAAGTAGATTTCATAGAAAGAGAACCTCAGCATAAGAAAATTCACCAGGGGTCAAAAAGATAGTACAGAGTTAACTGCATGGTGGACCTGGTTTCAAATCCCAGTCCCACACAGGGTTCTCTGGGCACTTTCAGGTCCTTAAGCACCCAGCTAGGAATAAGCCTGAACACCATGGAAGGTGGCATCTGCAACTTTTCAACAAGAAAATCCAGTACCCAAAGGGGCTGTAACTGCAGAAAGCCTCCTTGGCTGGGCAGGTCTGGTGCCAATAGCTTGTGTGCAGTTTGGTGTTGAATGGACCTAACTTTTTAACTTTTTTTTTTTTTTTGCTTTTGGGTCATACCCGGCAATGTACAGGGGTTACTCCTGGCTCTGCACTCAGGAATTACTCCTGGCAGTGCTCAGGAGACCATATGGGATGTTGGGAATCAAACCCGGGTTGGCCACATGCAAGGCAAATGCCCTACCTGCTGTGCTACCGCTCCAGCCCTCTAAGTTTTCAACTTTTAAAGGGCGCATTCAAAATATGAGTTGTACTCAACTTGCTGTTGAGTACTCAACTTCCTATTTCTGTTTCTGTTTCAAAGGCGACATGCATAACTGATACTGGCAGAAAGGATGCGCCTTTGCCATTTCTACGCACTCACCTTCATTTCCACAGCAGCAGTGTTCTGGTCGTAATGACCCATGAGATTGGGGAAAAACGTCATGTTGTAGGGCATCTTCATGCAGCGGGGCACGGTGATGGGCTCGCAGGTGAAGAGGCTGTGCCCCTGCACAAGGGGGAGCAGCAGCGCGCACGCCCACAGGAACGAGCAGCTTCCCATCCTTCCCCCAGCCCTGGGCTTCACCGCGGGGCTGCTACCAGGGGCTCTGAATTTTACAGGCTCTCGCTTCCATCCGGGGGTGGAAAACGCTCACGTCCCTTCCTGCCTTTTCCTTATTTGACCATGTTGAAGGAAGCGCCTTTTCCTGCGTCCTGGGTCAATCACTGTTCAAAGAAACAAAACGATCAACACGACGTGGGGATCAGCCACAGGTGTGATGGCTCAAAGTCGGGAAGGGGTCTCTAAGAAGTTGGACAAGGCTGTCGCGTGGGGTCCCTAACTACGAGAGAAAACACGGAAAATTCCATCCTCTTGAGAGCCTTTCCCACCTGCCCCAGCATGCAATCATCATCTCCCCCCCCCCCCCGCCCCACACACACACTGAGGACGACTCACCTTGGGGGGGGGTGATAGGGTTAAAAGAAAAAAGAGGGGGCAGTATCGGGTACGGAAGGCATCTCGCTGGGGCAAAGTAGGTAAAGTTGGGACCAAGTTTCTTAGAAACTTAGGATGAAAAGCTTCGACTGGGGGCCGTGTCGGATATGGTCTCCCGGCGGAGAACACGGGGCCCCGCGGCAACTCCTTCAGCCCGAGTGAGGAGCCCGCTCAGGGAAGCGCCTAAACTTTTTGGATCCCCCCATCAACACCCCCCCAAAAAAGGCCGACCCGGATTGCAATTTCCAGGACTGCACCTGCGGAGCGCGGCTGCGTTCAAGCGCTGAAGCAGCGCCGCTCCTCCCGAAGGGGAAACCAAAGAGCAGCTCCGGAATGTGGGGGTCCAGAGCGGCCCCCGCAGCCCCGCTCCAGCGCCCGAGTTCGGGCCCCCAGCAGCAGCACCAGGTCACCGCGGCCCCTCCCGGGCACCTGCTGCAGGCCTCGGCGGCGCGATCGCGTCCCGCCCCGGTCCGCCGGCTCCCGGGAAGCCCCTGCCCCTCCCTTCCCGGGTGGGTCCCAGCTCGGGCGCACGCGGGCGCGGCGGGGGGCGGCGCACCTGCGCCTCGGAGCGCGGCCCGTCGTGCCCGCCCGCGGCCCCGGCCCTCACCTCGCGCCGCGCGCCCACCCCGGCGCGTCCAGCCCGCGGCCCCGCCACCTGCGGCCACCCCCGGGCCGGCCCGGACTCGGCCACGAGAGCTGAGCGATCCCGCGAGATCGCGCCGCCAGGTTGGGCGGGCAGGTCCGGGCTCGCGCAGGCGGCGGCGGCCTCCACGCCGGTCCCGCCCGCGCGTCTGCCCGGCCCGGCGGGGCCGCCCGCGCGCGGGGCGGGGCCGCGGAGCCCCGGGGCGAGCGGGCGGTCGGGTCTCTTCTCCGGGCAGTCTGTCCCGCGTCACGCGGTTCCGCCCCAGGGTTCGACTCGTGATAGGACTTGGGGCATTGGGGAAAGTTGTGGGTGCTTCTCCAGACCCCCCCAAATGGACTGCACTTCGGATCGCGGAGCCGAGGGTGCTCAAGTGGAGGGCGCGCGTTGAAACGTGCGTGACTTCTAGGCTGACTTCTTTTTTCGGCCTTTTTGGGCCACACCCGGCGAAGCACAGGGTTTACTCCTGGCTTTTCGCTCAGGAATTACTCCTGGTGGTGCCCGGGCGCCATATGGGATGCTGGGAATCGAACCCGGGTCGACCGCGTGCAAGACCAATGCCCTACCCGCTGTACTGTATTGCTCCAGCCCGTGGGCTGACATCATCATCATCATCATCATTATTATTATTATTATTCCTTCGGGGAGTTCAGCCACCAACTTAGGGCCCAGGTATCAGTGAGGTTCTAGCCCTGGTAGATACTTTTTTTTCTTTAATTCATTTATTTCATTTATTTATTTATTTATTTGCTTTTGGGGGGGTCGCACCCAGCGATGCTCAGGAGTTACTCCTGGCTCTGCACTCAGGAGTGCTTGAGGATCATATGGGAAGCCAGGGATTCAACCACTCCGCCGCGTGCAAGGCAAACACCTTACCCGCTGTACTATCGCTCTGGTCGCTAATTCTTTTTCATTGTGCTTGGGCTTAATGCTTACATTAGTGCCAACGTGTATGGTATTGTTGTGCACAGTTAAGGCATCACCACCACTGATGTGCAAGCAGTCACTGCCACTAAGATCATTTCTAGTCATGTCATTATTTCCTCCCCCACCTCAGGGTCTGGTAATCAGTACTGAAGTACAAGTTCAAGGGGTACTGTTGATTATACCTTGTCTTATTTCTCTACTCCACTGATGAATGAGACCCTTGTCCCCTTGACTTTAATACCGCCTAGTTCTATCAGCTCCAGGTGGATTGCATGATTTCATCATTTTTTATAGCTGCATAGTGTTCGTGTGTGTTTATGTACCACAACTTTTTTATTCAATCACCTGTCATTGGTCATTTGGGTTGGCTCCATAACCTGGCTATTGTATTAAGTACTACAATGGGCATAGGTATGCTTATATCTTTGTGAATTAATGATTTTTGTGTGTGTTTGTTTTGGCAGTAGATGCTAAGAAATGGTATTGCTGGGTCATATGGAAGCTCTTAACTTTTAAGAGATGTCTCCATACTGTGTTTCTCAGATGACTTTCCCAAGAGAGAATGTGGATTCCTTTCTCACCACATCCCCGCCTGCACTGGGTATTCCTATTTTTCTGTTATCTGTTGTTCACACTGGCATGAGATGATATCTCATTTTAATAACCAGTGACAATGAACACTCTTACATATGTCTACTAACTGTTCATATGTCCTTTTGGAGAAGTGTCTGTTCATCTCCTCTTCCCATTTTTTTTTTGAGCCAGTTGTTAGAGTTTTGTTGTTGAGTTTTGTGAGTGTTTTGTGTATCTTGGATAATATCCCTTTATCTCATATTGTGTGCAAATTTTTTTCTTTTTCTTTTTGAACCACCATTTCAAAGCTGTTTGTGATTGGGCTTCAGTCATGCAATGTTCCAACACCCATTCTCCATCAGTGCACACTTCCCCCATCAATGTCCCCTGTTTCCCTCCCACCATCCCCCATCTCTCTTCTTTTGTGCTTTTGTGCATTATGGTTTTGTGTACAAATATTTTCTTCTGTTCAATAGGGTGTATTTGCAAGTGGATGTCTGGTTTCCTCATCAATATTTGGGGGTCAGGGTAGAAATGAAGGTGAAGGGCTGGGGTTATGACTCAAGGGGCTAGACTGTATACCTGGCATGGACAAAATCCCAAATCCAGTCACTAGTATTGATCACCACCCTTTCCCCTCAGCACCACCAAGTTTAACAGTGGTAGCCCCAAGCATCAGTCAGTTTCACACTGCCAGCCCCCCCCCCCCATCCCACAAGTACTGATGGGCAATCAGGAAGGACTTTTGATATGTTGATTTTGCTACCTGACAGGATGTGGTGTCTACCCCCAATGCAGGGAGTTGGTGAAAGACTCGAGAGAGACCAGGGCAGCAAGATGGAGCGCAGAGAAACGAGCAAGGGGAACAGAAGAAGAATGTAGGGGAAGAATGCAGGAGCAGGCGCGTGGAAAGAGAAGAGACAGGGCAGCAAGACGGAGCGTGGAGAGATGAGTGGGAGACAGGAGGAGACTGGAATGAGGGGCGTGTGAGACTAGAATGGGGAACTTAGTGAGACTGGAACAGGCGCGGGGGAGAATGGAATCAATGGCAACTGATCATCAATCAGCCGATTGGCCCTCGTTTCCTCCTTTGTCTGCCCATGGCATCGGCCATCCTGGGCGAAGAAGTGGCCCAAGTCCACCGAATGTAGGTGGCAAGAGGGAGAGGGTGGGGGAAAGGAGGGGGCTGGGGAATAGTGCCTGCCGTGGTGCCATGGAGGCAGGCTGGGGATGGAGGGATGGGGGATGATGGGAGGGAAATAGGGAGCATTTCCTAGTCAGAGTCAGGACATTTCCTAATTAGAGTCAGTCTCTAATGTTCTTTTTCTCAGTATTTGTCTTTTTTAGGTCTTCTTGCTCTACATGAAACTTCCAAATTGCCCACACCCAAAAGAACAAAGGCAACTGGTGTTGGCACATAATATGGTGAGAAAGGGACTCTCCTTCACTGCTGGTGGGAACGACTGGTCGAGCCATTTTGGAAAACAGTATGGACGATTCTCCAAAAATTAGAAATTGAGCTCCCATTTGATCCAGCAATACCACTCCTGGGAATATATCCCGGAGAGGCAAAAAAGTATAGCCGAAATGATATCTGCACTTGTTTGTTCATTGCAACACTGTTTACAATAGCTAGAATCTGGAAAAGACCCAAGTGCCTGAGAACAGATGACTGATTAAAGAAACTTTGGTACATCTATACAATGGAGTACTATGCAGCTGTTAGAAAAGATAAAGTCATGAAATTTACATACAAGTGGTACTACATGGAAAGTATCATGCTAAGCGAAATGAGTCAGAAAGAGAGGGACAGACATAGAAAGATTGCATTCATCTGAGGAACATAAAGTAACAAAATAAGAGACTAACAGCCAAGAATAACCGAGAGAAGTACCAGAAGGTTTACTCCATGGCTTGGAGGCCAGCCACACACGCTACAGGAAAAGGCAGCTCAGGTAGAGAAGAGAGCACCAAATAAAGGGTGTTGGGAGGATCCGCCCAGGATGGGAGAAGCATGCTGAAAGTAGACTACAGACCGAACATGATTGCCACTCAGTGCCTCTTTTGCAAACCTCAGCAACCAAAAGGAGAGAGAGAACAAAAGGAAATGCCCTGCCACAGAGGCGGGATGGGATGGAGGGGCGGGGGGACAGGAGGGATGGGAGGGATACTGGGATCATTGGGGGTGGCGAATGGGCACTGGTGGAGGGATGGGTACTCGATCACTGTATAATTGAAACCCAAGCACAAAAACGTGTAAGGTCAACAACTGTACCTCATGATGTTTCACTAATAAAAAAGAGAAAAGAAAAGAAAAAAGGAAACTTCCGAATCATTGTGTCCCTGCTCATTAAATAACATGACGGGACTTTGCTTGGGATTGCGTTGAACCTAGATGAAGTTGGGAGGCACGGACATCTTGTTTTTTGAATTCATACTGGGTTTCTCTATCCACAATCATCAAACATCTCCCCATTTATTTAATCTTTAATTACTTTCATCGACTTTTTGGGTCTTGTTTTTCCTCATATATCTCATGTTGATTTTAATGGATTTATTTCTAAGTTTTTATGGCAGGGGTGCTAATGTAAAAGTTACTGTGTTTCAAGTTTCAGATTCTATTCTTTGTGGGTATATAGGAAATTGACTCTTTGGGGTGAGACATTCCCATGGTGCTTGGGGTCACTCCTGACAGTACTCAGGGAACCATATGATGCTGGGAATAGGACCCAGGACCATCTTCCCACCCACATTTAGTAGCCTTGAGAGCCTGTGGGTCTATAGCATTGTCCCATGTGACTTCTGACAATACTTACTTGTCTTTTGTTTTTTCTTAGTCTTACAAAATGTTATTGATTTTCTTCATCTTTTTAAAGATACAGATTTTAATTTAACTATCTGTTTTCAATTTCATTGATTTTTCTCTCTTCTATTTCTCTCATTTTGGCATCCACACCCAGCAGTGCTCAGAGGTTATTCCTGGCTCTGCACTCAGGGGGCTATAGGGGGTGCCAGAGTTGAATCCAGGTCTGCCACAAGCACCCTACCCTCTATACTATCTTTCCAGCCCCTCTTTTCTAATTTCTCTTGAGACTTATTCTTTGACTCGTGTTTAGATATCAATTGTAAATACTTTGGATTATTAAGCTTTCTTTGTCTTCTTGATTTGTAATTTAATTCCTTTGTGGACTGAGATCAGAGGATGTACAATTTCTGTTCTTGTAAATGTGTTGCGTTTCATAGCCTAGGATCTATCTTGGTGAATGGCCCTAGTGAGTTCAAAAAGAAAGTGCATTCTTAGAACTGGAGATGTAGCTCAGCTATAGAATGCTTGGCTTATATGTATGATGGCCTGGGTTCAATCCCTGGAACTGTAGAAGAAAAAAGAGAAAGAGAGAGAGAGAGAAGGGAGAACAACAGAGAGAGAGATGGGGAGGTAGAGAAGGGGTGAAGAAACAAAATGAAATAATTTCACGGTCCATTATGGGGTTGCCACACATCCAGTAAGGCTGAGGTGCATCCCTGGCACCTAACTGCTTTATTTCTTTACGAGACGTTCTTCTTCCTCTCTCGTAGCTCC